ATTGGTCACCATCAGAAGTAGGATTCTGGACCTCACAGTTCGATGGGCTGGACTTCTACCATCTTTTGCTCTCAGGCTCTTTTGCATTTTAACTTTAGTGTTCAATATTCAGAGACCTCCTCTGTGTGTGTGGTCCTCAACTGATCTGGATGAGATGGGGTACATGTTGCATTTTGGTCACTATTTTTGAAAATAACCAGGCTGAAATGTCAGCAAGCAATGGGTGTCCAGAACAGGTGTGATTTCTGATTAGTTTAGAAAGGAAGTAGCTAAAAACTTGTCAATATCGTGTGGCACACGCTGACTTTGAAGGCTACCTCAACCCATGCTGAGTTAAAGTTGCTTATTTTGAAAACAGGCAATGGTGTTTATCAAAGCCCACTCCATGTAGAGGCCCACAATGGAATGTTAGATGTGTGCTAAGGGTGTGAGGCTAGTTTTCTCAAGAGCCTTTAAGAGATCAGCACAAAATATCCAAAAGGACTACCAGAAATTAAATGTAAGACTAAAAGCAGGGTGAGCTTGTATCACTATGCTAGCAACAAAAATGCAGGTTACAGTGACATATATTAAATACAAAAATATTATGTATATACTTTGGAAAGTAATACATGATTGGTTAGTTTTACAAATGACTCATTGTGCCATGAATTCATTGAAAAAAATTTTTTTGACAAAATGCCTTCCCAGAACAATAGCATCTGCATTTCCACATGCAGCACATATCCCAGAATTGAGGGGAGGAGGGGTGAGAGTGGGGGGTGGGAGTGATTTCTCCTTCTCAACCCTTCATACCTCTCAGGAACATGCATATTACCCAAGGTTTGGAGATAACCCTCCAAAATATTAGCTGAAAGCTTCCTCAGAAAGCAAATCTTTCCCACATCCTTCCCTGCAGTTCCTCTTTAAGAGATGTCAGCATGGCTGAAAGAATGAAGTGGCTCCACATTGTTTGTCTGAACTCTTATGTGCTTAACATTTCCATAACAAAAGTGCCACTCGACTTCTTCCCAACTAATGCAACTCGAGGGCTCTTGTCCCCCTTTAATAAAACATTGTTGAAATCATTTATTTAGAGCCCCTGGTTACTAGTGGGAGAATGACCATCTTTGTGCCAAAATATAGTGTATACAGTTCACTATTTTGTAGTAGATCATTCTGTTAGTTAAGAAAATGATTAAATAGATGCCCCAGAAAGTGTTTGTGCTAATGGCAAATTACTTAAGTCACTCAGAGAGTCAAACACAAACCTTTTCAACTGTCCACCACAGGCAAATGTCTCAAGTAAAATACAGTAACTTTCAAAACCACTCCTCAGTTGGACAAAAGAGGAAACCAGATAGAGGAAAATGCCTCTTTCTGGCTATGAGTTATTTAGATCATGGGCATCTCCTAGCTGTAATTGGGTCAGATGGTGGAAGATTGGAATGGATTCTTTAAAGTGTCTTGTCATCCTTGGTGCGAAAGGTTGCAAATAAATAATGATTTCCTCTCCCCCCCCCCCCCCCGCCTTTACATGTATTGAAAATGAACCCATGAAGTTAATTAAAAAACTTCTAAAATGAAAGCAAGGAGCCAATAGTAGAAACTGATAAGGTTTCACTATGTTCCCAAAATGGTGACACACATAGTTCCTAGTGTCCTTGTGGTTTGCTTGAGGAATTTATTCTTTGAGCATATGCACAAACTGAAGACTCTCACTTAAGTGATTTCTCTGGTCATCTCCTATGGTAGTACTGCTTACCTGTCTTTTTAGATGTGTCTTCTGTGTAGTACATGCTACAGTTTGTATTAAAATGTTTCCCCGAACAGAGTGAAAGTGAGAACTAAGACCTCACTCCACACATGCTAGGTGTTTTAAAAGGCCATGGACAAGCTCAAGGAGGTACCAGTTGTTAATGTAAGAATTCACTTGACTAGCCCTATGTTTCCACCTTACATATGTGCACTGCCTGTGTACATTGCTACATATTGTTAAAAATAAACAGAGACCTTATGTTATGTCCATTGTGATTATATACAAAAGCTTTGCTGTGTGCTTGGGTGATCAGTGAAGCTTGAATCTCCTTCTATTTACTGTATGGTCACTGTCAGTTCAATGAACTGCCTCCTTGTTCTCCACCATTGTCCCACACTCCCTTAAACATTTGTCACTGAGGTGCCTCCAAAGACAAATAAACTGTCACTGAGAATTCAAACCTGGTAACTGGGAAAATGGAAAAAAAAAAAAAAGGCAACAAGAACACATGATTTGACATGAAATTTTAAAAGGAGTTCCTTTTCACCCTGGAAGACCTCAGTTGGAAGTGGGGGCATTTTCAGATCATGCTTTCATTCATTCCACATTGTGCACCTACTATATCAAGGCACTCTAGAAAAATCCCTATTGGATTCCTAGGGGAAAGGCATTGGTCTTTTCTTCCTCTAATGATAATCCATAGCACTTTCATTTAAGGCTGCCAAGTGTCCACAATTCCAACTGGCTCCCTAGAGGGCTGAAGATATTGCGTATGTCAACATCTATAAAATTCTTTCTGCTCTGGAGAAGCTGGAAATGCCATCCATTCACCAAAACAATAAATAAATAACCTTTGGCTTTGATATTGCCACAAATTTCTATAGGATCTTTCAGTTGAGTAGTAGGGTGGGTACTAGGTTCTTCTGTATAATAATTTAAATTAAAACAAACTACTGGTCAATGTTCACTTTCTACAGAGAAGGAAGCATAAAGACTCGTGTCCTCCCTCCCCACTGGTGCTTTCTGTTGATTTATTCCAGGCAGATGCTTTTGACAGGAGCTGGTAAAATCAAGTCTTCAGTTTATTGTAGTAGTTAATTATCAGTTCTTTTCTAGTGCTAATGCCTTTTACTCCTTCTTGGGGAAAAACTGAGCCTTTTGCTGGGACAAAGGCAACTTTTTAGTAAAAAATGTGTTAAAAATAGACTGCATAGATAGAATCAAGACACATTTAAATATATTTAAGAGCATGCTCAAAAGGATTGCAAACTCAGCGTTTTGTAAAGAGGACTGATTCCATTTACAAGTGTCTTCCAACCACCCTTTGTCCCTTCTTCCTAAAGAAACAACATTTTCAGCTTTGTTTTAACAATATGTTTACTCAACCATTCAGGTGACTTTAGATCACAGCCACACATTATACTCATAAATGGTTGTTTGATATTGCAACTATCCTGAACTTTCTGATAATATATGAATATATAAGCCCTGGTTTTAGCTTCATTGAAAAGAACCCTGAAAATAAACAAGAGAGAGGGGGAGAAGTGAGAATTAAAAGAAAACTAATCCTCCAAAATGGGAGTGGATGGGATTGGAGGGAGGTGGAAGTGGGGGGAGACACAGATTTGTTAATTACTTTAGGCAGCAGAGAAATCTGGTTAAGTTTTCTTGACACATGTTAATATCAAATAAAGAGACAAGAGATCTGGCTAATCTGTCGACCCCTCAGACAAGGTTTATTTGTGGTGGCTTTTAAACTTTTGACTTGCCTTCCAATCACAGCGTTTAAAATGAAAAGCTTTAAATAAACACAAGGAATAGAAGATAAATAAACTTTTTTTTTCCCCCTGCAAGTGCCTTGCTTGGCGAGGTTCAGACTCAAATCCCCAGAGAACTGAGCTCTCTCTTTTGTGTTAATGTTTAAAAGATTTTTCCAATGCCGGAGTTTATTCCTACTGCAAACATTTCTATTTACAAGGTCAAGTGTATCAGCACTCGACACAGCTTAAGAGTGTAATTATTTATCTAAGGACGTCTGAGTGTAGATCAGTAGCCCTGGCAGAAAACCAGCCTTCAGCTCCTTGCTAAACAACTCTTCACAACAATATCACAAGTTCTGCTAATTGTTCTACACCTCACGTTGTTTACTTTTGCCCAACTTTTTTTTTTTTTGCTAGAATTGTGAAAGTTACCTCAAAATCCTGGGATTTGTAGACCCATTTATAGGCCGAGATGTTATTGACATGGTTTATTGTATAAGAATGTCTAGTAGCATGGAGGGTACCACTTTAGTGGGTGAAAAGAAAGCCAGAAGGAAGGGGGAGGGGAAAGAACAAGGGCTCCTGATAATCTCTGTATGTGGAAGAGAAACAATTTTGTAGATACAGGAACTGAGTCACTAAATCATAAAAACAACTGAAGTCATTCCAGGTAATGAAGTATTTTAACTGCCTTATTTGCAGAAGTCTAATTGTACCTTAAAGTATCTATGGTAATAGTAAAACCTCTATTTATGACATTTTAGGTCTTGGTCTGTACTTTTAACTTTGATGGATGCATTTTCTCCACTATTGGCTATAGCATAAGATAACTGAAAAAACAACTTCACCACATTCATTATTTAAAACTCTTTACTGATGTACACACTTAACAAAACAAAAAATACAAAAAGCCATATAGTTACATAGGACTTCTTATGCCTTCTATAAAAGACAATGTTTAAGGCAGTCTGGAAATGTATTTATACAAATCAACAACATCGTCCATAAATTCTCTTAAAAATAAGAAAGTTAACGTCCAATCTATAAAATACACTGTACATTTGCTTTCCTAGAGCATACTTCACAATGGATTATTGTATTTTGTATCCTTTAAAACAAATGAAATCTGTACATTTCTTTAAAAAAAAAGAGTAGCATGAACGTAAATTTTAAACTTTAATTTCTTCTTTAAAAAATAAATTATTTTTGAAGCATACATTTTATAAAAATTCTATATACAAGGTACAGCGACTGGTAACAAATCCCAGTTTTAAATACATTTTATATAAGATTTACCAGAGTTCAGCACCCTGATAGGAGTAGAGGCAATATAATTTCTCAAGGTACACAAAAGTTCTTAATGTAAAAAGACCAGAACAAAACAAAACAAAAAACGCAAACATAACCACTAAACACCACAAAGTGTCTTTCGGAGATGGCAGTGCAGCGCTCTTTTAAAACAAAAGTTGCATTGTTTAGTATCATTAATAACTTCCTACATCGGTATTTGAGTTTGAATACTGGGAGATGGAACGGGAAGTCAAATTTGATCTGAAACTTTTTTTTTTTTAAACAGGAATGGAATTAGCTAAGTACTTCACTCACAATCACACAGTTTAGATTTTTCCCCCTTCCCCAGGGAGTAAAATAGCAATAAAGACCTGATCCCTGCTTCTTTCGTCACTAAGAATATTCAGGGCACTGGTGCCCAGAAGAAATGAATGAATGAATGAGACTTTAATTCAAGTAGCAGACTCCTTAGAAGATTCTAATAGGTCAAACCATAAGACTATTTGCACAATACCTTAGAGGAGACTTGCAAATAAACCTACAGCAGCATTTCAAGCTTATCTCTTTCGAATATCTCTCTGCTAGCCACTAGCCCAGAACTGTGTGGGATAAAACTGGGAAGAATGCACTCATTAGAACTCCACATAATCGGAAGGGTGTCTCTTTTCCTCCTGCCCTGCTACTTCTACCCCCCTCTCCCACTCCATGAACTGCCTTAAGTCTCATGCAAAGCTGGGGTTCCAGCCTTCCAAGTGATTTGGAGTGTCTGCAGTAGAGTTAGAGTGGGGGTGGGGTGGAGGGAAAAAAACAAAAAAACAGAAAACAAAAACAACAACCCAAGATTCTCGCTATTTCTGGAAGAGGAATGTGTAAAACTGGTGCGGGTATTGTAGGGAAATCGAGGGGAAGGTAGGGGAGAAACCAGGGGACAGTTCATTAGTTTTGAAAAACGGGGGCGAGTAGAAAGCAAAGTATTCGCTAGCTCCTCTAAAGCTATGTTTTCAGTACCGGTTGCTATTACAGGGGAGGGCAGTCAAAGTATGCTGGGGACTGGGGGAAGATGATGGGAAAAGGGAGAGATAAGGGAGGGAAGGAGAAAGAGAACCGTGGAAGGGAGACCCGGGAGACTGCGGGAATCAATAGACCAAGCACGTGGACAGACAGAGGGGTTGGGAGAAAAGGCTACAACAGCGGCCGCAGGAGCAGCAGCAGCAGCAGCAAAATGGAGACGAGCAGAGTCCAGGCGCCCTCGGGAGTCGCGCGGGAGCCGCGGTTCCTCCTCCCGTCCCCGTAGGGCAGCTCCCCGCGCCCTCCTCCAGCTGCAGCAGCCGCTGCAGCAGCGCCGCCGCCCGGGCGAGCCGCGTGCGGGAGCCCATCCTCCTCGTACTGAGAGTCCCCGGCCGTTCCGAGGCCCCCACCGCCCCGCTGCTCATCATCGTAGTCCTCGTCGTAGTAGTCGTCCAGGCCTCCGTCGGAGCCGCTGCTGCCCGGGCCGTTCCCCAGCTCGGCCCCGAAGCAGAGGCGGGCCATGTTCTCCTTCACCGACTCGCAGATGGGCCGCTCCAGCCCGTCGCAAACGCAGTCATTGAGCAGCGCTGCCTTAGGCACGGCCAGCATGTCCTCGATCACCGCGCGGCACTCGTCGGTGCAGCGCAGCCCGTTGAAGAGCTTCCCGCAGTAGGTCAGATAGCGGTTCAGGGCCAGGTTACACCGACTATCCCGGTCACAACGCCGACGGGCCTCAGTGCAGCCCATCACACCGCCCCCGGCACCTCCCCCGCCTGCTCCCCCGGCGCTCCCGCTGGCGCCCCCACCCCCACTGCTCGTCCGGGGCAAACACGGTTCGATGGCACGCTTGGTAGATTTGCAGTTCTCATCCTGCGCGCAGTCACAGTCCTCCAATGCTGGGCCCCTCCTGGTGTGGTTGAGCTGAATCAGGGCCGAGATGCAGTGGCTCGGGCACCGCCAGCGGGAGGAGAAGGAGGCAGAGGAGGAGGGGAAAGAAGAAGAGGCCACCGCGGCTGCAGCGTCCTGGCCCCCCCGCTGTAGCAGGACTGGTGCGCACGCCTCAACGTACTGGTTGTACGCGTAGCTGCACTCGGGCTCCCCTTGACACTGCAGCAGCGCCTGCCAGCAGATGAGCCTACGGCCGTGCACCAGCACGGAGCCCCGCGGAGGGGAGCCCAGGAGCAGCAGCGCCATCAAGCACAGCCAAGTGCCGGGCACTGTCCACCACCGGCCGCCGCCGCCCCAGCAGCCCAGAAAACCTGCCACCATCGCGGGCAGCAGGAGGAGGAGCGGCAGCCGCCGCCGCCGCCGCTGCAGCAGCGGCAGCAGCAGCAGCAGCAGCAGCCGGACAAGAGGGGAAACGGAGGGGAGGAGGGCCACAAGGAGGAGGCACCGGAGGTGGAGTCTGTGCAAAAGTTTGCTAAACTCCTGCCAACTTTTTGCATGAGGGTTTTCATAAATCCATTCGTGCGGCTTGATTTTCCTGTCTTGGTGAAAATTGGTTAGGATGTTTGGCTCGAAGGTATTCTGTCGAAAAAAAAAAACACCCAAAGCAAAAAAAAAAACCTGCTAATCAACCCTCATCCCCCGAAATCTCCCACAAAACAGTCTCCCGTAGCGGGTGGAACTCAGCGCTGTCCTTGGAGGCTCTGGAGAAAGGGGCCTCGGTGGGGCTCCCTTGGTTGCACCGAAGCGCTGCAGCGAGAATTCATCTTGCTGTCCTCCGGCAGATCCGTTGTGCAACTGAGCTGCCCGGGAAAGTTGCCCTTTCTCTCAGTCCCGGGCTTTTTTCTCTTCTTTTTCAACGTTGCGCCGGCCGAGTTGCCGCTGCTCCTCTCAGCTTCTGCCCATCGCCCGCGTTCTCGGCCGTGGAGAAGTCTTCCAGTCCCTCCACTGCTCTGTCCCCTCCCCCACCAGACTTCGGCAGCTCGGTCCCGTACCCCTCCGAAGTCGGTGGTATCTCCGTTTTCTGGAAGGAAGAAGGACAAGAAGAAACTCTCAGCGGCAGAAAACGGGCTTCCTCGCTTCGTTTCGTTGCTGATGCTTCTCGCCTTGTCAACAAGCGCTGGTGAGCAGCTCCCCAGATCCGATGAGTGGACTTTCTCCCAGCGAGGCTTTAAATACAAAAGTCCTCCTGGAGCAACTGCAACGTGCTTAGATCCCTCCTCATTATGCATGCATGGAAAAGCAAACAAATAAAAACATTAGCAACGCTTCTCCTCCTAGCAGTTCCTCTGTCCCTCGCTCCCGGTAGCTCCTGCTTTCTCCTTTTCTCCACTCTCTTTTCGCCCTTTGCTCGGCCCCCTTCCCCGACTTTTCGAGATACTATTGGTCATGCCTGTTGTTGTTGAAACTTTTTTTTTTTTAACTATCCACTAGCGCGGGGCTGGGGAGGTGGGGGAGGGAGGACGGGGGATGGTGGGCAGCTCACATTCAAGTCTTGAAAGGAAAGGCTTAAGGAGACTGACAGCAGCCCGGAGGAGCTCCTCCTACTTTTAAGGAGGCTCAGAAATGTAGTCCCTACTCGAGCACAAGTGAATTTGCAATGGCTTGCTTCAGGCAGCTGTTTGCATCCGGCAAAGAAACCGGGCTTTTCGATTTGTTTTGAATTTGTTGTTTTATTAATTCTCTCCGCCCTCATCTGTGCCTTCTTCTGAGCCAGGAAATCGCTTTAGTTTGTAGATTTCCCCTCACTAAGTCACGATAATGAAATAATTATTTTAAAATCAGTGGAATTCAGTCTCGAGCTTTTGAATCATTTAAAATGAAAAACAAGCAAAAAAAAAAAAAAACTAGACACAATAAATAACACTTTAATTAGATATATGCCCCGGAGGCATAATGCTTCAATTCCGAAAACAGAGCTGCCATCCTCTATTTGCACTTTTATTGTTTCAGCTTTTCACTAAAACTAGTACATTTTTTAAAAAGGATGCAGAGCCAGTGTATATGCATTAATGTGTAAGGTAATGAAATTCATAAAAATAAACTAATAAAATAATAAATTAATAAAAATTACAAATGGGATTTTCAGCCATCCTTTTATATGTCAGTGTGAAATATTAAAAAATCACATGCATACTTTTAAATTCTAATCACACTAAAAATCTGATGGTTGTCAAGAACAAATCAGAGTTCCACGAAGGACATAGCCAGGTACTCATCTGGATTTCTATTAAGCTGTGAAATATTTGATGGCTTTGCTTGCCTTGAAATGAAGTTCCTAATCTGTCCTGCAGGGTAGTTAGTTAGTAGATACTGCTTCCTTTGGAGGAACGTTGAATTTTATTGCTACCTTAATTTCATAGCAACACGGTCTTTGACCACAAGAGGCATAAGGAGTCTGCTGCCTGTCAAAACCTGGCCCTTTTTTTTTTCCCCAGCACTCCCCCTCCCCCTCCAAAGTATCAACTCCATCTGTCACAAAAATTAGAGCTAAATCTACTTTCCAGTACCAGAGGGAGCTTGGGTTCCAACGCTTTGTGTATTGCTGTTTGCCTCAGACCACATGTAAGCTGAAATTGAGACCAGAGTCCAAGCAAATGTAGATTTCTGAACTGAAAAAGCACCATCTTTATTTTTAGATCTTCTTTCTGATTTCATATAAATAAACTGGTTTTGCTACCTGAAGTAACAGAATAAATGTTTTTAAATGCATCAAGCAAAGTATCATGGTTACAAAGGAAACCATTTATGTTGAAATACAATTAAATAATATATATATATATATTTAAATTCACAAGTTCACCAACCTTAGGTTAAAAACTCTTGAAATAGATGATCTCTAAGTTTCATTCCAGATCTAATATTATGTGATTCTACCATTTTGCCAATCAAAATCAGTGTTCAGTTATTCTGATTGTTGAAATGACTGGACCTGATGTCCAAAATGATTACTGAGCTATAAAACGATTGTCTCGTGACTCTAGTCAAATATTACAAAATCTTATATTTCTTTCTCTTTTTTTTTTTCTTTTATGTCCAGACCTGTGTTTCGTCTATGTTAGGAATTTCTACACAGAATAGAAACTCCCTCTGCTGATAGAGATGGGCTGTTGTCTAAAATGAACAGTTTTTGTTAATTGCCTGGAGCCTTGAGAGTTTAAATGACTTCAAGCTGTAGTGCAGTGGAAAGAGTATTAGGTTTAGAGTCAGAAGTTCTGGGTTCAAATTTGAGCTCTGTTGCTTACTTGACTTGTGACCTAAGACAAGTCAATAATAATAATAATAATAACAGCTAACACTTATACAGAACCTACTATATGCCTAGGTACTGGGCTAAGTGATGTACAAATATTATCTCATTTAATCCAGCCTTGCCTGGGAGGTAGGTGATATTATTATCCCCATTTTATAGATGAGAAAACTAAGGCAAACAAAAATTAGGTGACTTGCCCAGGGTCACTCGGTTAGTGCGTCCAAAGCCAGATTTGAACTCTGCTATTCCTTACTCCCGGGGCAGCTAGGTGGTGCACTGGATAGAGTTCAAGTCCTGAAATCAGAAAGGCCCATCTTTGTGAATTCAAATTTGGCCTCAGATATTTCCTAGCTGTGTGACCCTGGACAAGTCACTTAACCTTATTTACCTCAGTTCCTCTTCTATAAAGGGAACTGGAGAAGGAAATGGCAAAGCACTCCAATATCTTTGCCGAGAAAATCCCAAACAAGGTCATAGAGACTCAGACACAACCCAAAAAAAAAAAAAATGACTTAACAACTTCCTTACTCCAGGTTCAATGCCCTATCCACTGTATCACCTATTTGTCTCAGTCTCTTTGGGTCAGTTTCTTCACCTATAAAATGGGGCAATTGGATTCACATCCAATTGGACTATATGACCTCTAAGGTTCCTTCCTTCCTCTTTTTTTTTAAAGCTTAATGAAGTTTATTAAAATAACCTGAATCAATAAAGGCATTTTTTTTTCCCTTTCACTGTCCATTTATCAAGAGCTTGATAGAATTCCTTCAAGGAGGGTTAGGGACCAGACTGGTGTCAAATTTTTTCCAAGGTCTTATAGTCAGAGTGAGCATCAGGGGCCTATATGATTGTCCATGGGCAGTCAACAAGTATTTTTCAAGAATATACACAGTATATATCATATGTTGTATTTGAACTCAGTTCTTCCTGACTGCAAGGCCTGTCTTCTATTTACTATGTTGTTCTTTCTATCATTTTTTGCAAACACAATTGGTTCAATTAGACTCATCAAGCATTTATTAAATGTCCTAGCCTAGGGGCTGAGGGATATAAAGGTGAAGCTGATAGTGTCTTTATCCTTGAAGATCTTTCAGCCTCCCAGGGGAGATAGGTCATCTATACAAACCGCCATAATATGGACCAGGACATTCCTTCCAGGATGAGAAGGCTTGAATGGATTGTTATCTTTATTATTGATGAGACTAGCCACATCAGTGAGATCACATGTTTATCAGTACATTGAATTATATTCACAAGAGACACCACCAAGGTGGTGAGAGACCCAAGAAGGGAAAAAATACTCCTCTGGATTTGGAGAAGGTCTAATGAAGGAGGCAGGTTTAAAGATTTGGTAGGATTTTAACTGGGGGACATAGGAGAAGTACTTTCTAGGCATCAAGGATAACGTGAACAGATCTTTGTATGGAGGATGGAAAGGACAGAATGACCTCTGAGAATGGTAAATAGTCTAGTTTTCTTTTTCTTTTTAATGTAAAATAAATGAAGTGAAATAGTGTGAGGTAAAGGGCAGCTAGGTGGAGCAGCGGATAGAGTGCCAGGTCTGGAGTCAGGAAGACTCATCTGCTTAAGTTCCAATCCGGTCTCAGACTGTTGGAAGAGTAGGTGGTAGCAGATAGTGAAGGGCCTTAAATAATTTGCTAAGTAGTTTGGACTTTGCTCATTAGGCAAAGGGAAGCCATCACAGAGTTTGAGCAGGGGAACTACATGAACAGAGTTATGAATTAGAAAAATTACTTAGCCAATAGTATTTGGGCTGGACTCGTAACAGGAATGCCATTTAGAAGGCCATTGTCCAGGTAGGTTAATGAAAACCTGAATTACAGTGATTGTATGGAAAGGAGGGGACAGATTCTAGGT